CCTGAATAATTCATGGTCTCGTTCCCGCTGGACCAATGAGCATTATTTGTAGTCTCGCGAGACTGCATATCCACGTGAATGCACATTAGTGGGATTGCACTTGTGGGCATGCGTTGTCATGGGGACGTTGTTATGGGTGGAATACGGAAGAGTTAAGCTTGCATGACATGCAATATTTCGTGAAAGGTATTGCCGATCAAATCTATTTCAATACACTTTGATTAAGAATGTTATTTCTATGCATAGCTGGGAGAGAAAGCACAATGAAAGAAGTGCAGTGTGAGGTTATTATCTACAGCAAGCCATCACGCCAGCTTCTCATCAGAGTCCTTTACTGGTGAACTTTGTGTCTGCAGTTTCTATTTACCTTGTGTGAATGAGTTTGCGACTTTGGGCTTAACGCCACCTTGAACAATTTTCAATTAAATCACGACGTGGTAGATGCGGAGATGACAAACGCTTATATAATTTTATAATATATAATTTTGATAGAAACTCCATTTCAATTGAAAAGTATTCCCAGTGAGATAAGACCTGTAACTTAGACTTGCTTCATTTGAGGCTTTTGCATCATAGAAAGGGTTGGGCGAAAGGGAACATAATATGATTCAGGGACTGTGAGACAGGCTAAATGCGATGAAAAGCCAAACATACGCAGGTCGTTTACTAGTTTGGTGAAAGCCCCGAGCACGGTATGGTGTTGACAAACCAAGTACAATAATTTGGATTCGAGGTGACAGCCAGAGGATCCTGCAAACGGCTACTCAACTCAGAGAAGCGAGCACTTTGTCCTTGAGCATCTGCTTAACTAAAACGTCTAAAATGTTTGACAAGAAAAATAATGTAAATATTAAGCATATATACTTAGTTTACATTCTTTCATCCTTTTCAATGAGTCGGTGGGGTAGCCTAATGTTATATGAGTGGCCTAGCGTTATAAGCGGGTAAGCCGAGGCCTTTTCAGCGCAAGAGTCTTATACTACAAGCAGGGCAGTCGTTATAACCTGGGAAGCATTGTATTATAAGCGGGGCGGCCTAGCGTTATAAGCGAAGAGTGAGTGATTTGGGTTTAACGCCGCTTTTAACAATATTCCAGTTATATATCACGGCGTGTCAGCCTAATGTGGGAGGAAAGCCCGAAGTGATGCAGGTCTCAGACGTTTACCACTTCGGTGAAACCCACGAGTACGGGTATGGTGCTGACAAACCTAGAAACATAATTGGGGCGAACCAGGATTCGAACCCACAATCATAGGTTTCTGGCGTGCCCAAGGGACGCAACTCTGCACAGCGAATCGCGGTGCCTTAGGCGACTGGGCTACCCGTGCCCCCTTATAAGCGAAGAAGCCTAGTGTAATATGTGGGATGGTCAGTGTTATGAACGTTAGGACGTCAGACCAAAGGTTCGATTCTCACATGCTATCGTCTGTAGAAGACCTCACTCACTCACTCACGCAACCTGTTACCGCGGATGGGTGACCAGTGACGTAAGTGTGCCAGAACGTTAAGATTAAACAGAACATAAACAGAACAGAACCCTTTGCTCTGGACATTAGGTGAATGAATGAGTATTTGCTGTTCAAAACGAATTTGAAAATATAAGTTTATTTACGCGCGATGACATGTCCAACACTTCGCTGATGGAACGAACCTGACGACCCGTGAAGATCCGGGTTAGAGTTGGTCTTCAGAAACCCGAGCTTGTCGTAAGAGGCGACAATGCTTGTCGTAAGGCACGACTAACGGGATCAGGTGGTTATACTCGCTGACTTGATTGATGCATGTCATCGTATTCCAATTGCGTGGATCGATACTCATGATGTCAATCACTGGATTGTCTGATCCAGACTCGATTATTTACAGACCGCCGTCATATAGCTGGGATATTGCTGAGTGCAGCGTTAAACAACAACAAAAACCATTCAAACACTAACTTGACAACCGAGCAATCCAAACAGGGTAACGTGTAACATTTGGTAACATACTCGAAAACGAGTAAGTAATGGTTAATCGGCAACCAGATAGAGTTTATGGCGTCTTCGCTCAGTATGAAAGTGGAAGGCCATTATATTATGCAACATCGAAAACTAAAGGGCGACAACTGCTGTATGGACATGCTACAATGAAAGGTCACCTGTGGCTGACCCCAATCAGCAGTGACTGAAGTGTGCAGTGGTCATGCTTGGAATGTGGGCAAGGTACCTCGAGTCATTCATCACAACGGGGGAGATATGAACTCACCCACTTTACGACAAGCTTGTTTGTACACTGGAGTTTACAATAGTTCTAGGGCAGTATATTACTACAAGCAACAAGACGCTGGCAGCCATTCAACGATGTCAATACCACCGACTGGACTTTCTTACGATCATTTCAGTGATCCATTCGTACACTTTACATCAATATTTTGCCTTTTCGCCTAATGGAATCTGTTTCGCAGACAATCGAGCTATTTTCTGGCGTGGACGTTATATATTTTCAATAAATCACCAGTGTGTTTGACTCGGGTGTTAATGCGATTTTTCCAGATTCACCATTACTGTAAACATAATTTAACCCTCAACCGATTGAGTGAGTGTGTGAGTTTGGTATACGCCGCTTTAAACAATAAAGTTGCAGGACCGCGCGTCAGTTTGATGTCGGAGAAAAGTCCGAATTGATGGAGATTCCCAAATAACCATTAAACAGTCTGATATTATAAGGTCATCGACCTAACATATCAGGCGATTGTAATATGATTTCAGTTTGTTATTATGGAGCAAAACATGTCTTAAATCTTCCTGTCTCCGTATAGCCAAATGGTGTGTGCCCCCACTCAGCGGGAACACGGCACGGGTTCGAATCTCATCAGTCGTATCGTGTGTTCTTTCTATATGTAATCTGAGAATGCTAATGAATGAGAAGTTTGTCATAGCTTTCTATCAACACCGCGGGCCTTTGTTGTGAGAATTCATGTTTTAAACAGTTTATTTCTATTTGATATATATATTTTTGTTATGTAGTTGTCATAGGGTGTGTAAACACACCCCTCCTTTTTGCATATGCTATACTAAATATGAAACGGTAACGCCAGAGACTAACCAGTCTCGATTTTCCGACGAAACAGATTCCATTGGGTGTAAAAGGTAAAATAGGGGTGATGAATTCTATGAATGGCTCACTGGAATTCAGAGATGACAGGGGGCACGGGTGGCCCAGTCGTCTAAGGCGCCGCGATTCGCTGTGCAGTGTTGCGTCCTATCGGACTCGCCAGAAACCTATGATTGTGTGTTCGAATCCTGGTTCGCCCCGATTATGCTTCTAGGTTTGACAGCACCATACCCGTGCTCGTGGATTTCACCGAAGTGGTAAACGTCTGAGACCTGCATCACTTTGGGCTTTCCTCCCACATTAAGCTGACACGCCGTGATATAACTGGAATGTTGTTAAAAGCGGCGTTAAACCCAACTCACTCACTCACTCAGAGATGACACCAGGTGTTCGCGAAATAGGTAAGCATGTCCTGCCCCACCAGCAGCCCCATCAATTCACACACTTTGTGGTTTAGCGCCTCACAGTAGTAACTGTCGTGTCTGTCAAAACTAGATCCACATTCATTTTTTTATAACATTGGCAGTAATGGAATTATTCGGTACCTTCTTATGCGTCGTTATGGCAACCATGACATACAAAGGCTTAGAAACCAGATTCTGATACATATTTGATTTTAACAGCGTCATCCATTCATGGCAGGTTTGTCCGACAACTGAATATCGACGCTTCCCGTCATCAGATTTGACACATGTATTCCGTCATGCATCAATTCCCGAAACAGACGGAAAAATATTGTTATTAAACATTAATGCATGATAGTTCAGGACCCGTAAAGCTTTTCAAACCAAAGCAGGTGGCCGCGTTCGTTAATAGTTTGAAACTTTTTTACGCTGCAGCTTTGGTCTAAAACTCAGAAGGTCACTGAAGTTAGCATTCCTAACCACCTGCGGCTACCCAGAACAAACGGAGCGGGAGTCGGTATGGGGTGATGGATGAGGAGGGAGATCTAACTGAACCTTGCTAGACGGCGTCTCGTGGATGACGTCACTAGACACGACAGTCCGGTGGTAAAGTGAAGATGGCCTTGAGTCTTCTTGGTAATACTACTTCATTTTCATTCCAAATAAACTACTCACGATGAGCGATTAGTTTCACAAATTTGTTATCTAGTTAAGTTTTCATTTGGGGCCTTGAATAATGGTGTGATCGCTGGTTTCTCAAAGGCATAACGTTTCTTGGAATCTCCGGACGTGGGTAACAGTTAAATAGTAAGTGAGTGATTATTTTTGGCTTAACGCCGCTTTGAAAAGTTACATATTCAATGTGGGTGAGGTTACTGAGCTAGGATGCTACAAGACCTAAATATTATAACAGAATCGAATGTTGGATTCAAACCCCTGGTGTTGCTAAGGGGAGCAACTCTGCAAACGCGTAGTGAAGCCTAAGACCACGGGGCCATGCGTGCACTCCCTTTACGCCGCTTTGAAAAATATTATAATTTAATTACGGCGTGTCGGTTTCATGTTGAGGGATGTTCAAAGTGAGTGAAGTCTCAGACGTTTGGTTAAACCCATGAACACTGCACGGTGCTAACAGACAAAGATCAAGATGGAATCGAATCATGACACAACTAAGGGGGACAACTCTGGGAGCTGATGACCCATACACCCCTAGGCCAGCCGTAAACCCAATTTAGCTACAGCTCCTCATGGGTCACATCTACGGGTGTTCCTCTTAAAGAACCCCAATCCTCCCATGATTCTTTACAGGGGTGGTCGGGTAGCCTAGTAGTTAAGGCTTTCGCTCGTCACTCCGAATGCCAGGGTTCGATTCCCCAGATGGTACAATGTGTGAAGCCCATTTCTGGTGGCCCCCGCTTTGATGTTGCTGGAATATTGCTAAAAGCGGCGTAAAACCAACATCATGACCCTTTATCAGTACCATGCAAACAAAACAGTGGCCACCTGTATGTGTAATATCATTTTATTATGGAGAAATAATCAATAAATAAAGAACAAACATGAATGTACATGAACATACTACTAACAATAACACTGTGTCTCCATCAGTGCAGTCGGGGAACCAGAAGCGTCCACTGATAGGCACACTGGGTTGCATTGAGACTTGCACAATACAATGGACTTTGCATTGGACATCGGACAATGGACATTGGTCAGTATCGCGACACTTCAAGTGGCTACACATTATACAATATGAGTGTCAGGTAAATACTCAGTGCAGCCAGATTCACTGTATACCCTGTGCATGTGCTGATAGGTGACTTTTGTAAAAGTTTAATGTGGCTTGTTATTACTCTTAAGATATGTCATATTATAGTAGCAAACATTATACTACACAAATGTAACAATGAAGAGGATATGCAGAAATACCCATCAGTCATAAGACAACGATTATGTCATCTAAATTGATTTACAGTTAGATCGTTTACAATCGACACCTGTATCAAAAGTGTCACCTGATTTAAAATGACCAAGTAGTGTTATTTGGCCTCTCCTCTTATTATTACATAGTTTATGAATTTGTTTGTTGAAGGGATCAGTGAACGAAACAGAAATGAAACCGATGAACGGAGAGAGAATTATTCCACATTCGTGGAAGTTTGAGGAAGCAGATGCATTACAAAATCATAAAAACGCTTAATTTTAATTCTGGATCGACTTGAGTATTTCCTTTTCACACTGTCCAACATTAAAATATTTTAAAATTTACAAAATGGTTGGTCATGTAAAGTCATTTTTAAAATTGGCATCAAACTTCGTATTTGTGGTTCAGCTTAGACTCACTCTTATTGCGTAAATGAAATCTGGACAGGATAGAACATATAAGCCTAACACATTCAAAGCTAATGATCACATATGTACACGCATGTGTTACCAATACACATAGTCGTCAAAAGAAATATTATGGCACTTTCGTTTATTGTTATTTGTTCAGGCTTATCAATATTTCAAGTTTGCTGTCAACCGTTCAGTAAAGCTCCTCGAAGCCCTGTCAAAATATGAATCACAAGTAATCAGCCAGAGCTCTATGGTATGACATCATCGCCCGAAGCAATGCTTGTAACAATGTCAGTAGCACTGCTAGATATGGCAAGAAACTAGCGTGGCTCATGTGCGATCTATATATGACGAGATTTAGCACTTAGTCATAATTTCTGATTCAATATCCTCAGATACCAACATGTCGCCAAACATCGACTCACAACCATTCATATCAATCTCTAAAATACACATATTCAATATTCAACCATCCTTAAGAGTTCCAACTACTGAGGCATATCAAGCCTAAGGCATGTCCGTTTTTGTTATAAGTTTCAACTGTATTCCAGTTGTACATTGGATTCTTTTATGAATTACATCAAACCTTTTCATGCAATAATTAAGCATACACGCATGCTTTCAAAATGCATAAACGCATGCATTCAAGCATTGTATCGGAGACAAGGTATGGCGTTGAACTGTCTGAAACTGTTGCACTTATGTGACTACTTCAACGTTCACATGGCCACCGATCCGTGTACTGAAATAAACCACGGATGTAAACATTGTCGGGTGAGAGACCTTCGTCCTCTTTGTGCCCCCACGTCAACGTGCGAGTCGTCGACAACGTGGTCTTATTGTGTAGTCCTCAACATAACGCTTAAGTCACGCACAACCACGAAGCCTCACGCTTGGCGTCCATGTTAAGGTCACTAAAGGTCATTTCTTTTCCAACCACTTCCGCCTTCATGACTGGCCGTATTTGCATTTACAAGAGGAAAAATCGTGTTTATTTGTATGACTAGAATACCACCAGTCATCAATGGCTCTTTACGTAGGCTGATATTAATATATCGTTCGTTTTGAGAATAACTACCCTAGTTTTCAGCCTCTTAGCACAAGCCGTGTTGAATGTACGGATGAAGACGATGTCGCCTATATGTCATCACAAGTGTGTCACAAGAGGCTGGGGAACAGGGATCGACGTTTCTGTGTAACCTTCGTTAATACCAGAGTCATAAGAATCACGTTCAAGCTTCTGAATCTTTTGAACCATTTTGGACATGGACCCTTTCAATTGTTCACGGCTCAAGGTTCTGGCACTATCGGCGTCATCGTAGAACGAGCACCTGCTATCGTCTATGGACAGAGACAGGCTTGATGGTGACGGGTACTTGGGCGGTAGGTCGTCCCCCATCTTGGTAATGGACATGTCCGACTGGGACCAATCAGTGCTCGCTACTTCACAGGAACTGTTGAGGAAGGAACTCTTGCTCCAACAGTATCTCCTCCGCCACTTCAGTTCCTCAATCTCCTCGTTCAGCGTCAGCAGCTGTTTCATCAGTGATAGATCCTGGTCCATCAACGAAGCCTGCAACAAGAGTAGAATATGGGTTAATGTCGACATCATTACATATACGGAACGTGATCCACAAACACATCTTGTATTAAGCCATGCCCTTCTGATGTCAGTCTGGAAATAACCCTGGGGTAAAGTATGGGGTATTATTGGGCACCGAAACAATGTTGGCTAAATGAGTAATACTCGTTATGTTTCGTGTCTACTAACAAACAGCAACTGCTAATAGGGATGACTATTTGGTACACCGTGGTTGCAACATGTTTGGGCAAAGCTTTCACTAAAACTCCACTGGCCACAACATGTGAGAGAGAACGTACCTAGATAACACTATAACCCTTCGCTTTTCCAAAAACACCAACCACAGCGTGTGATAAGGAGACGTACCTAGACAATACTATAACCCATCTATGCATGAAGCAGTTAGCAGCTCGAATAGAACTGCATTTAGAAAGAAATGAAATAAACCACAATGAGATGTGACTACGTGCGGGTTCAAGAAATTGACAGATTAAGAATGTGTGTAGAATAATATGTGAACAAATGGTGCCATGTGTTCTCTATTGATCTTTTAGCACTACTTACGTAGGAACAGTAAATGTTCAATTTGTCTTAAAGCATCTCGTGAAGCTGAACCTGCCATTCCTTATTGTCTTGTTTACATTGTGTTTGTTGGCAACATCTTGTACAGAACGGTACTTGTATACAACGACGGAATGACATATATTGTCTAATATACGCGCATGCGACCTCCCAGAACCGGTCGGTTTACTACTTAGCGTAAACCACAAACAACACTTCCTCTGAAGTGTATACGATATCTTCAAAATAACCTCCTTCCATCACCTTCCACCAGTTTTATTACTGCTACAAGCATATCTAATGTATACCGATGGGAGCAACATGCCACCATGTTGTGAACGCTGCCTTTACCACGTGACTGACATGCCAGGATGTTTTTCACCTACAGACCCCCCAAGTCCCCTCCTTACACTTTTATTGCACGGTCTGGGAGGTCAGTATTACTTTCGCCAGTGGTCACTTTAAACAGCTGGCCTCTGGACAAGGAAGTGCGGCTGCTGATAAAAGTTGGCCTATTGTACGGGAAATATCGATAAGGCACGAAAATACTTTTGGGCCGAAAAGCATTCACCGGTAGAACCTCAACTAACTCTATTAGTTGTTTGTTGTTTCACGCCGCAATATTCCAGCAATATGACGGCGGTCTGGACCAGCCAATCCAGTGATTGACATGAGAATCGACCTACGCAGTTGGGATGCGATGACATGCATCAACCAAGTCAGCAAAACTGACCACCCTATCCCCAATCCCGTCTTACGACAAGCTGAACTCTTTCTCACTCGGATGCTCACGGTTTTGACTCTTTAAATATCAGCAAGAGTTATGCTATACTCGGTAAATTAAAGGCTGTATGTCCCCGAAAGATGAAGTGAAATTATCTAAACGAAGTAAGGTTAATATGAGAGTAAGGGGAACTTCCTCGATACCATGGAATAATTCTCGCGAAAAAGGAAATGACAAAACATCAATAATTGCAAATGCCTTCTCCGAGAATCTAATAGCTAATACCAAAGGTTGAAACACTTCTTTGAAGCAGAATTAGGATAAAATGACATTCGCCCGTAAATGCGGAGTGTAAAACAGAAATTGAAACTTAACTTGCTTAAAGGGACGTACTCGATCACTGAAGACATCTTCAAAGCAGCTACAGAACTCGTATTTCCTTAAATTCGGTTAGAACAAACCACAACTACAAAAATACTCGTTGATAATCTATCTCTGTCAAAAGGTCGTTCAAGTAAACGTGAAACGGTTTGTAAACACTGACTCCCCACGTTGGTTCATTCCGTTTTCTTGATGAAAAAAATGTAACTTTCGTCACACGAAAGGTACCCAAAAGAGTTCAACAAAACAAACGTCAACAACCTGCATCTCGTGAGATTTTCCTTCCACATTTAACAAACACGCCGGGATATAACTGCAAAATTAGCATTAAACAAAACTTTAGGGTGGGTTTGAATCTCGAATTGGACCGGACAAAACGTATAAAACTTTGTACTTTACTAAATAAATAAAGCGACAAAACCCTTTCCATATCCAATAGAAATCTCAGCATAAAGCAGAGTCGATTGTACAATTCCGACTATATCATGAGCATGTGTTTATGAATCACTATCAAATAGTAATGATACCAGGTGTTCGCGAAAAGGTGAAGGTATCCTGTCCCACCGGTGCCACCCGTCACAAACAGAAAAGTAATCTCAAATATAACATATGTTACATCTGACGACTTTCTAAAAGCATTGTCTATTCGAACTCAATAACTTGAAAGAACATTGACTGACTGACTTACTTACTTCCTCGCTCACTCACTTACTCACTTCGTGGGAGAGAATTCATTTCGTTTGCATTCATAATGCAGCCCTCAAGGTCATGCTATTATTTCCAGTTTATGGCGTCATATAAGAGAAGCATGCCACCATCAGATTATTAACCTCGGTCCTGTCAATAAAATCGGACACATAAACTCCAGCCAGACACAGTACGTTACCCCAGGGACACGTTCTGTTACGAGGTGGAACAGTAACCTAGCGACGGGAATTAATGATGATGAAATAAAACTGTGACAGTTTAATGAGTGTCCGTCATAACGCACAGTATTGTTTATAATGGCCAGCGGCGTTACCTTATCCCCAACGCCTTCCGACACAATCAAATAACTATTGTTTAATTGATTATAAACACTTCTACCTCCAATACGGAAGAGCTCCAACACACTTAAATAGATGTCACACTTGTTTCATACCATCTATTTGAAAGAGCCATTTAATGGCATGTTTGGGGTCAAATTGCGTGTCGTATCATGGCTACTAGTGTGAGTGAGTTGGGTTTAACGCCGCTTTTAACAGTATTCCAGTTATATCGCGTCTCGCAGCTTAATTTGGGAGGAAAGCCCGAAGTGATGCAGGTCTCAGACGTTTACCACTTCGGTGAAACCTACGAGCACGGGTATGGTGCTGACTAACAAAGAAACATAATCGGGGCGAATCGGGATTCGAACCCACAATCATAGGTTTCTGGCGAGTCCGAAGGAACGCAACTCTGCACAGCGAATCGCGGCGCCTTAGACGACTGGGCCACCCGTGCCCCCTCATGGTTACTATATTTTTGTAAAACAACATTATCGACATATAGCATACTAATATCGATGTAAAACCGGGTGTATATCACACATCTGAAGGAGCCAATGACATAACACATGCTTGGAGTCACATTGCAATAGACTTGCATTGTTTCACGTTTACAAAACGTTTTAAAACCGCATTAACCACGTGACACCAAGGCCGACCACTTCAAAATAGACTCACCATACATGCAACTAATGTCCCCATAAATGTCAATACGATGGTATATCCATGCGATGTTTATAAACTCAAACTGACAAATACCACACGCATTCCGATTACGTACAGACGGTCCTAACTGTGGGTATGACGGGCCTATGTTGATATAGATAATCGAGTGATTCTGCGGATAAGGTGAATAAGGAAATACCCGGCTCTGTAAACATAGGTAGAATCAAGGCTTGAGATAGGTGTGTTTACCCTGACAAGTGGCTTGGTAGCGTCCCAATGAGGTGTTGGCAACACTACTGAGGGTGAACATCCGCGTCCTGTCGGGGGAGGGGCGGGGATCAGGAGGGTGTCTGACTCACAGATTTTCCTCAAGTAAGTCATCACAAAATACACCTTGACCTACCTGGTTGCCATGACAACAAATGAGGAAACATTTTTAAAGTTCTGGGCACTTTCGGAACGGTACTGTCTGTGGTAGGCTTTCCTTTGATCCCATGGTTTAGAATTCGCGACTTAGCTGTCTCGGCGACACCGCAAATAGAAGTGGTTTTAATAAAACAATTACCTGGTGGGAAAAAGTGTTTGGATGTGTTTTTTCCTTCTTTGAAATCGATTTTCATGGCCGATGTCTTAGTGACAAAGAGCACGTTCCGTGTTTGTAGATCATTAGAAAAGCGCTGCTGCATGCTTGGAGTTGCGCTAGATGTTAGCTTTTTAATCATGCAAATGTTTTAGAATTCTTTTTTAGTTCAACGTCGTGCAAAGAAAGAGGCGGCTCTGTTGGTTGGAGTACGGATAGGAACTGGTATATAGTGTCCATTATGTTTGAAAATACCAAACTTCAACTAACCACGAGCAGATTAATAAAATAAGTTGATAGTAATCTAAATGGAAACACTTTTCGTTGGTTTATGTAGTTTTAGCAAAGTGAGATTATCATCATCACTTTCTAGATATAATGTCAGGCTTGAAGTAAAAGTGATAAAACCATTTCCATAGCCATACGAAATATCTACTGAAAGCAAAGTATACTGTACCATTATAACTATAGCATAAACATGTGTTCATGAAGCACTATCAAGTAGTGATGATACCACGTGTTCGTAAAACTGCGAGCGTATCCTGCAAACACCAGTGGCACCCGTCACATACACATGCAAGGGCAATTCAACTTTTAACATGAAAACACACGGGTACATATGGTACAAGTCAAAATAGGGAATTACATCGGACATAATGTTTGTCACTGATGTGTTAAATGTGGTAATGTTCCACGTCAACTGCCTACATTTATTGTTCGTACTTCCTGACTATCCCCTGGCCAGCAATGTATACCCTTATTACTGAAGATATTCATGCGCGAAGGAGATTCGGGCTAGCTGTTAGATATGGCATTTGACTATACCAGTCGATTATCAAACCATTTATCTGAGCATTTAGCCTGATGGTATAAATATACCAGGGACTCGGTAAATATACCATAATGACTTAATAAGAGTAGTTAGCACCTCCCAAGTCAACCCAAGCCATGCGTGGCAGCTGGCCTTGTACTAAAGGACATCGAGTCACTATGCCAATAAACCATGACAGGCCAACTGTACATCAGAAAGGATACCCAACCAACGCCTTGGGTACGAAACTGTACACTGCTATATATACTCACATAATCTAACGTCAGGAGTGAGGCTTCATGACACTATGGCCGTCTGGGGATTTATGTTTTATCTTTCTTTAAAAGCTCGAAACAATTTGTGTCGTTGGTGCAGCCGAAAAAGGCTGATGGAAGCTGCTCAATTAAGGAGTAATAGGTTCACCAGTCAGCATGATGTATCAGATACCAGCTTATTGGATTAAGACCAGAATGTCAGTTAAAGAAGTGCTTAAATTGTTCGTACTATACAGACAGGTTCCTATCGACATGTTTAGACTCTTTATTCGGTACAGACGATGTCCATCAGGCAAGACACAAGTTGAAAACAATACAAGTCTTAGGCGCTGCAATTCGCAATGCAGAGTTGCGCCCCTTAAAGCGTGCCAGAATCCTATAGGTTCGAATCCCCGATTCGCAGTGATTGTGATTCTAGTTTTGTCAGTAAGTTGCCGTTCTAAATAAACGTGCAAAGAATTTCCTGAGAATCAGCTGAAAATCTCGGATATAAATGGATATAAGTAAATGCTCCGTATCCTCAAAAGAAGAGTTCAAACATTCAATGATAGCATTGGCAGTATCCCGATCTCCCCCAGGTGATAACAAGGATTTGTCTGAAGGGAATTTCCCACGCCTGGCGTTAACATGGCAGACACTGATTTTTCTACAAGAGCATTTACAACATGGTTATCAGTGGTGACTAACAGTAAGAAATCCTCGAATGTGACAGACCAAGGGATCGCCCCAAACAAGGATGACCTCTGCTCAGATAACCTCAAACTTAATGATTATGTCTCATTTAAATGTGATGCTAATACTTCACTTTAACATTGTAGACAATCCCATTCTTGTCATATTAATCATATCACACTAATAATTTGAATATAGTGTAAGTAGAGTTCGTTAATGTCCTTTTTATCACCTGTAACGGTTGATTGACATAAGACACAAACATATTTTATAAATATATGTGTCTTTATTGTAAATCAAACGAAGGAAAAGCCATAGCAGAGGTTTCATCTGATAACGTTTGAAGACTATAGCTGATCATCTGACAAGTTTTCTTTCATCTGAATGGAAGTCGCTTGGCGTTTGGGGAGGTATACAACCGACTTACAACCAACCTCTCCTTCGTATGCCCCTTAAGTCACTGTGATCAATATGTATCAGCAACCATTGTCAATAACCCTGGACCGTGTGTGTTCGAGTTAAATGCGTCGGATACACATTCATCGTGACATATTCATCCACTTCTCGTAAGGGATATGCAAATGGTTTGAAACAGCCTTTTGACACACTATGCCACTAGGATGATGTCATATGAAACAATGTTCGGAGAATACAATCAGGGTATAGTTACGTTTATCAGTTTGAATGGTTAAAACGCACTGATAGTCGTACTTCTGCGCCCCCTCTCGATATATAATGAACAAAAACGTTAGGGCTCATGCAATATTTTTATAAGGGAAATATGAAACTATGTGCCCAGTCTTTACGACAAAAAAAAGATTTTTAAAATATTCACGATGGCTAACTTTTTTCGTTTAGTATACATTGAGTATGTAGGAACTGTCAACTCTTGTGACCATAACCCTTGTTTCTTATCGACGATGCTTGAATATGATTTATACTATTTTATGGGAGTGTATACACACGCGTACGTGCGAAGACGCGTGTTCGCATACTATCACATGGCTTGCGCTATGACGTAATGAAGATACAAATTTTACTATGTGTTAACATTTCTAATGCAAACGAACTTTCTAACAGTTGGTTAAACAAACATTATTAGGTATGACTCGACAAATATCCACCACACATTCAAACTGTAATTTATTTATTTTTAAACTTAACACAAATGTATCAAATATCTTTTAAAACTTATTATTCTTTGTTCAAATAGGAAGCTCCAGGATGGGTAATACGCTGTAAAGATGTGTGACAGTAAATTCAAAATTGGGTCATCATGGAAGATGAGTCTGCAAGGATTGTCAGCTGTCTATATACGTCTTTAAATAGGGGTTCGGCAAGGTTGTTTTTTCCACCTACTCCTTTTACACAGCCAACCGAAGCGCGTATTGTGCTGTGTATATTTTAATACGTGTGTGTCATGGAGACTGGAATGTTAAGAGTGGAGGGCACTGTGAAATGACATGTCGTTAATGCCCAAACGAGGTCTTGGCTTGTTGTGCTTAATTGCCCTAATTGGTCATGAGGCATATCGTTCTTTGTCTCAGCTTATCTAGATAGTACTATAGTTACTGCGTGGGTGAATGAGGTCATTATACGTCTTGTTCAAGCTTGTGTGAAAATGTCAACGGAACCTCACAGCATTCTTCACGACATTGTATTGATACCGCCCACAGTAATAAGAAAATAAGCTGGAAAGTATAAACTTGTACAACGTAAGCCGTATCATTCTTTAACCTGGACCTGAATGTATTTCAAATATAGATATGAAGTAATTGCTGCAGGATACAAATTCAAATTACTGCAGTTCCTACATGCGCATCCTTATCTCTCCCTCACAGGGGTGGTGGAGCAGCCTAGCGGTTAAAGTGTTCGCACATTACGCCGAAGGACCGGGTTCGATTCCCCATATGGATACAATGCATGGAGGCTATTTCTGATTGCTGGAAAAGCGGCGTAAAACACTCACTCCTCACATGCACAACACTGTTAAACATATAATTCATTACAATACATACAGAAAGCCGTGGCCATACGAGTATACACCCAAGGACATTGACTTATTCAATACCCAGGAAGTATTAAATTCATAAATAAGTTCATTATAGGTGCTATAAGAGTGTCTATTACAGCAAGGTGAGCTGGGTAGGAAGTTCAATTGTTCAAGTCATTTCATGGTTGTATGGGTTAACAAAAGCGCATGTTTATAGCCTTCAACACTGAGATCGACGTTGATCAGCCACGAAGTTAAAAATATGACAAATGTAGTAGTAAATTAGCCGTCCGACACCTAGACATGATGGCTCCTGCTCTACTAAAGACCAGATCCTTTACGTTGAGTTTTCCTCACTACTTTCTAAAGGCCATAATTTCCTCTCGGACATTTCTATACGTCGACTTCAATTCGGGAAGAAAATTGTCCTTTCAATTCGAGGAATGACTCATCCCACCTTATCTAAATTTATCTCGGGTAAATAACGCCATATGCTATTCCGGCCGCATGGACGATATACCCGAGATTATTACTGGTTGACATTTATACGATTCAAACCGATTCTTTTATCGCCAAGCGCAGTTTTGTGTCAATTGAATCGCGCTGTCGCCGGTTGGATTGGGTGTGATAATGCACTCGTGAGCAAACAGAGGGCCATGACTGTAATGAAACGTGTACAGCACTGGTATATGTACAGTCGGTGCCCTTTACACAGCAGTTTTAACTTTGTCCTGATATATATAAAACAACCCGTGACGAATTATATATTGGTTGATCAGTAACCCTTACAAACTGTCCATCACTCCATTTAGTCTCTAGCGCCACCTGACACCGGTTATATGCATATTATTTGCTTGCATGCGCAGGTAAATTACCCAATGTCGAGCAATAATCGCCTTTGTAACGCAGCCACAAGGCTTGGATCAGATATCTGGGGTGTCGAACTGGTCAAAGATCGCTGTAAGGGTATCGTGAGTCACTGGTGTTTGCAATGTAGACGTTGAGAGACGAATCAGTGTTTTTCAGAGAGCTATTAAGTCGGTTGAATTGGGGCTAGTGGTGACAGACTCACCCTCAACAAATACATTAACCCATTAAACTTTATCAAAATGAACTTGTATAATATTTATTCCATGGATATGATGGTGATTAATTAAGCATAAAGTTAAACGGCGGGAGGGTTTCAGTTGAGAAAGAGATCAAAAGGTCACTTTTTGTCCTCCTTAAACTGCAAAGCGGTGAGTGAGTGACATTAAAAGGGTTAAGATCAAACGGGCATGTGGATGGCCCAGCTGTTAAAACTAAGAGGGAATGATAGATACAGAATGGGGCAAATAAAGTCCTGTTGCGTCTAAGGTGATGAACCGAATCCGGAATATTTGTGCTTTTGATGACCCTGGCACTGAAAGGTGCTAATGCATCACCGATGCATTCTGGAATCGGTTTGATTTAAAGTTTGACCCAATGGCCAGAGGTTAACTCTTGACATTTGGGAAAGTCTTCTATCCGTCCATTTGTTTCTCCAGAACATATTTGAACAAAGAAATACCCTGCGTGGAGTGGAGGGCTGGCGAGTCTCCTGCCATGAAAGAAACCCTCGCGAGAACAGTACAGTTGGGGGGTGTCTTAACACATTAAATGATGAATTTGTAGACTATATTCACACTAAGTTCATTATTATCGATAATTTACGATAATAAAGATGATTAGGGAAAGGGCTAATCTCGATGTCATAACACAGGGGGATGCGTAGGATTATTCAACAACTTGCTAAATATTCTGTATTATTAGTAATCACATCGATAAAAAAAATAAAAAATAAGTCGCTTCAATAAAATATTAAATTGTCTCTTTCAGATGTACCCAATTAATCACAGTATTAATTTCACTGGGGTGTTTATAATATAATATCAATATAACTTAAATCATAAGTTTCATCATCCAGAAATGCACCTTTCCTTTAAATAACAGTACATGCCATTACAACGTCACACATTCCATAGGAAAGTGCTCAAGGCTCATAAACAAACAAAACAATGAAAGTGAATACAATGCAAGTCGATATCAAAATAATAAAGTCACCATGTCGTTAGACTTTTAATAGCGAGTAACATCTGAAATATATATACAATGCCCCCATATGTTACCACATGTGGCCTGGCCATACCTAGGATATGAATCACTTGAAGAAATTCAAAAACCGAAATATTTTAAAAAACCTTACCATCTCGCTTCGGAGTTTCTCCATGGCGATGTCAATTGATGACTTTTTCTTTTCATTTCCATTGCTGTCAGAGATATTCACAACCTTTCTGTCACTTCCCCATTTTTCTTTCAAAGTCTGCGCACTTTTCAGTCTCGACTGGTAGAATTCTCTGCATGCGTTTGACAACTCAATGGAGTCGGTATACTTATCAGCACCCTCGACAGGAACCATTCTGTTGCGATCAGCTCTTTCCATAAGTCTCGACACACACGGCGGTGATAAAACTCCAAGAATACTGTTTTTTTGCAAGTTCACATTAAGTCCAGTGCACGGACCAAACACCACATCCGGACTTCACTGAGAGCAGACGACAATCACAATGCGTGCGCGCGCTCAACAGCTGTCACTTCCAAAAGCAGACGACAAACTAATTGCTGCTCAATGCAAATATAGGTCACGGGTTCGGCCTGAGCATCCGCAATAATCCCTTGTCAACAGACCAAAACACCTTTCTTCTGTGATTTTTTTTTTCAAACGAGTACTCTCACTTCTGACTGTTCAGTGGCTGTAGATAGGTAGTGACGGGCAAGTCAAATTAGCAGTCGATAAATACCAAGTTCACAACCCTTGCGGCATATCAACTGTTGCAAGCATGTATACTCCGCTTTCACCGCCATGTGACACTCAATGTGGATGATGACTCATTTAACCGACAGACGACGGGCAAGCTACTTGCCTAAACAATATAACTTCAGTAATTCCCACTACAAATAACCTATCACGCTCCGTGCTTTCTGATTGGCTGAATGCAGGGCACCCTCGCCGACCCCCCGCGACCACCCCTGAACATGTAAACAGGTGATATTTACCTTGATACGGGTGAATACGAATTATATCACTTTTATTAGCTGATATGGAGGAGTTAGGTAACTTTAAGATGCAGGTCAGGTGAAGTCTATAAATGAGATAACCCAGTTGTCCAGATTTTAAGGAAATTGACATAAGCAGATGTTGAAACTAAAACCAACATTTATGCCTGGAGCGACACATTTCTCAGTAAATATTTAATGAACATAGTGAAGTTAATCATTTTAACTGAGAAAGCTATAAAGGGAAATAGATTTTTGAAAATTTAGATTAATTTACTTTGATATGTGTACGTACCATGACGAATTTGTACTGAAACGACCTATCATACTTAAACGATGCATTTTCAAATAAAAACCATATAGTTTCAAAACAACATAGAGTATCACAACAATAGCTATGTTATAATTGTATTTCGGCACTCGTGTTGCGAACTATTCACAAATAAGCTTGTATACCTTGCTCAAGTTTAATAATAAGTTTAAAATCATGCCATGTTGATAAGATTCAATTCTCATAGGTTGACAACGTCACACAGGTAAACTGTGGTTGATATGTAATACACACAAAAGAGTTGCCACACTGCACGAACTCACTGAGTGTGATCTGTAAACTATCTCTAACATGCATGGTCTACTTCCTTCCCAGAAACACAACACATTCAGGCAGCAGTTCACAATACCCACAGCAGGAAGCACATGTGTTTTGTAGCACGTCTGTGTCAGACACGCATCGCATTTGCTACCCGCAAGCCCGTCAAATGCTCGAGTACTCAATGAATTTTGTCTGGTGCTGTCGCTGAACTGGTTCTGTTTTTGGAATGCGGTTCCGCCTAGGCGCATTTATATATCTGTAGACAGAAACCAGTATAGTTTACCAATCTGGTCGACGCTTCTGCCAAAATGAAACTGATTTCCTTGTTGCTAATCGTTGTAAACAAAACTAAAGATGTTGCGTGTATTTAATGTAAACTACTGTCGATTATTTTGTCATTCAATTTAATTTGATTTAATTTAATCATGTAATGACTGCTAATAACCTTTGTTTTGTGAACACTGGAGCCGCGAACACTTGTTATGCAAACATACCTAAACAGCATAGAACCATGGGGACCGCACATTCTCTACATCCCACTACATACTGTAGGCCTTATTTGTCGCCTTTTGAGCAACATAAGGCTATATCTATATCCTCATACAAAAGAATCCGAAACTGTGGTAAGTTATTTCTTTTTAGACTTGTAAAACACATTCCTGATAACCCACGAACAACAGATCGTGTCTTTCACAGAAGTATCTCAGTTAAAAATATACTTCGATTAAATATTCAAATTATGCGCGGAAGGTGACCGAATCTTCGCTCCGTTAACATCACAGAAATGGCTGTCACTGCAGTTATCCCTCGACAGCTGCTGGTGAGAATTTGCAACATCCTTGAAACGACAGCAGTTATGTTGTGAAGGTGAAAGAAAATTTCTTAAGTTGCATAAACAACAATGTTTCGCTGCAAATAAGATGTTTTTGTCACTCAAACACACTTCAGATGAAGTGCATCGGAAGTAGGAAGCTAGTGTGTTGCCTGGCAACGAAGGTGTGTAAGTGTCTTAATATTTTTGTTATTTTATTTTTCTCAACTTAATATTTTTAATATAATTCCATACCTGTCATAAGCTAAGAGACTAAGCCATGTCTTGACAGAAATATTCATGGAATATGCCCTTTCCAAAATTTGAGGTGGTTCAATAATTTCATTTATTCAACAGAATAACGGAGGTATTCAGTGAATATTTTAATACAAAAACACACGGGCAGTGTTTGTTTGTTTGTTTGTTGTTTAAAGCCGTACTCAGACAATATTCCAGCTATATGGCGGCGGTCTGTAAATAATCGAGTCTGGGCCAGACAATCCAGTGACTGACGTCATGATCATCGATACGATGGGATACGATGCCATGTATCAACCAAGTCAGCGAGCCTGACCACCCGATCCCGTTAGTCGCCTCTTACGACAAGCATAGTGGTCTTTTATGGCAAGCATGGGTTGCTGAAGAACTGTTCTTCCCCGGATCTTCACGGGTGTCACGGGCAGAAACAAATGACATTGCCCTGAAAGACGGTATATGTGTACACAGAAGTATATATACTCACTATTTTTGAGAAATACTGTGTTCGCAATGGAAGGAATGGCTATTTGTGATAGAGACAGGTAGGAAGAGTGCGACAGCGTAAATAGGTGAATGTGAATGTGAATGTGGGCAATCAAGTCTGAACTAGTCAAACCAGTGGTTGATAGCATGAACATTGATCAACTGAATTGCCGTACATATACTCTGTTACACATTGTGGCCATCCGATCGTTATAGTCTGCTATTACGACAACCATGATGTTACAGTGAGAGGGGGAGAAAAAGGGAGAGAGCGTGTGACAGAGAGGAGAGTGTCCGATAGAGAGCGATGAAATGGAAAAAAATAGATACATGGATAGTGTATGTGTGAGAGAAAGGAGAGTGTTTGAGAAAAGGGTAAGGGGAGTGAGAGAGAGGGGTAGGAGGAGAGATTGTGCGATAGAGGGGATTAAAAGGGAGATGTGATGGAGATGAGAGAAATGGAATGCGTGTTTGAGAGAGAGGGAAGTGAGTGAGAGGAGCGGGGAGGAGAGAGTGTGCGAAAGAGATGATGATAGGGAGATGGTGATGGAGAGAATGAGTGAAATGGAATGTGTGTGCGAGAGAGAGAGAGAGGCAAGAGAGAGTGTGTGTGTGTGAGAGAGAGAGAGCAAGGCAAGAGAGAGAGAGAGTGTGTGTGAGAGAGAGAGAGAGCAAGACAAGAGAGAGAGAGTGGGTGTGAGAGAGAGAGAGAGCAAGACAAGAGAGAGAGAGTGGGTGTGAGAGAGAGAGAGAGCAAGACAAGAGAGAGAGTGTGTGTGTGTGTGAGAGAGAGAGAGAGAGGCAAGAGAGAGAGTGTGTGTGAGAGAGAGAGAGAGCAAGACAAGAGAGAGAGAGTGGGTGTGAGAGAGAGCAAGACAAGAGAGAGAGTGTGTGTGAGAGAGAGAGAGAGAGCAAGGCAAGAGAGAGAGTGGGTGTGAGAGAGAGAGAGAGCAAGACAAGAGAGAGAGAGTGTGTGTGAGAGAGAGAGAGAGCAAGACAAGAGAGAGAGAGTGTGTGTGTGTGTGAGAGAGAGAGAGAGGCAAGAGAGAGAGTGTGTGTGTGAGAGAGAGAGAGCAAGACAAGAGAGAGAGAGTGTGGGTGAGAGAGAGAGAGAGCAAGACAAGAGAGAGAGAGTGGGTGTGAGAGAGAGAGAGAGCAAGACAAGAGAGAGTGTGTGTGTGAGAGAGAGAGAGAGAGCAAGGCAAGAGAGAGAGTGGGTGTGAGAGAGAGAGAGAGCAAGACAAGAGAGAGAGAGTGTGTGTGAGAGAGAGAGAGAGCAAGACAAGAGAGAGAGTGTGTGTGTGTGAGAGAGAGAGAGAGCAAGACAAGAGAGAGAGTGTGTGTGTGAGAGAGAGAGAGAGCAAGACAAGAGAGAGAGAGTGTGTGTGAGAGAGAGAGAGAGAGAGAGCAAGACAAGAGAGAGAGAGTGTGTGTGTGTGTGAGAGAGAGAGAGGCAAGAGAGAGTGGGTGTGAGAGAGAGAGTGTGGGTGTGAGAGAGAGAGTGTGTGTGTGTGTGAGAGAGAGAGAGAGCAAGACAAGAGAGAGAGAGTGTGTGTGTGTGAGAGAGAGAGAGAGCAAGACAAGAGAGAGAGAGTGTGTGTGAGAGAGAGAGAGAGCAAGACAAGAGAGAGAGAGTGTGTGTGTGTGAGAGAGAGAGAGCAAGACAAGAGAGAGAGTGTGTGTGTGAGAGAGAGAGTGGGTGTGAGAGAGAGAGAGAGAGCAAGACAAGAGAGAGAGAGTGTGTGTGAGAGAGAGAGAGAGCAAGACAAGAGAGAGAGAGTGTGTGTGTGTGAGAGAGAGAGAGCAAGACAAGAGAGAGAGAGTGTGTGTGAGAGAGAGAGAGAGCAAGACAAGAGAGAGAGAGTGTGTGTGTGTGAGAGAGAGAGAGAGGCAAGAGAGAGAGAGCAAGACAAGAGAGAGAGTGGGTGTGAGAGAGAGAGAGTGGGTGTGAGAGAGAGAGAGAGAGAGCAAGACAAGAGAGAGAGAGTGTGTGTGAGAGAGAGAGAGAGAGCAAGACAAGAGAGAGAGTGTGTGTGTGAGAGAGAGAGAGAGCAAGACAAGAGAGAGAGAGAGTGTGTGTGAGAGAGAGAGAGAGCAAGACAAGAGAGAGAGAGTGTGTGTGTGTGAGAGAGAGAGAGAGAGGCAAGAGAGAGAGAGCAAGGCAAGAGAGAGAGTGGGTGTGAGAGAGAGAGAGAGCAAGACAAGAGAGAGAGAGTGTGTGTGAGAGAGAGAGAGAGCAAGACAAGAGAGAGAGAGTGTGTGTGTGAGAGAGAGAGAGAGGCAAGAGAGAGAGTGTGTGTGAGAGAGAGAGAGAGCAAGACAAGAGAGAGAGAGTGTGTGTGAGAGAGAGAGAGAGAGCAAGGCAAGAGAGAGAGAGAGAGCAAGACAAGAGAGAGAGAGTGGGTGTGAGAGAGAGAGAGAGCAAGACAAGAGAGAGAGAGTGTGTGTGTGTGAGAGAGAGAGAGAGGCAAGAGAGAGAGTGTGTGTGTGAGAGAGAGAGAGCAAGACAAGAGAGAGAGAGAGTGGGTGTGTGAGAGAGAGAGAGCAAGGCAAGAGAGAGAGTGTGTGTGTGAGAGAGAGAGAGAGAGCAAGACAAGAGAGAGAGAGAGTGGGTGTGTGAGAGAGAGAGAGCAAGGCAAGAGAGAGAGTGTGTGTGAGAGAGAGAGAGAGAGAGAGAGAGAGAGCAAGGCAAGAGAGAGAGTGGGTGTGAGACAGGGGAGAGTGGTTTGGGAGAAGGAGCGAGAGTATGTGTGTGCGAGAGTGTGAGAAAGGGGGAGCGTGTGTGAGCTAGCAGTGGAGAGAATGAGAGATATGAGGAAATTAGTAGACAGTTATATCGATGTTGAAGGGATCAAAGGTAAGCAGATTCTGGTAGGAATAATAACAGTGATCCAGTAACAAACGCTGCTACCTTGGAGATAAACAATACCTCAAGGTCACTCGGATCAATGCAAACGGTAGTACAAATATATGACAT